AATCGTTGTTTTGTGAAGAATCGGTTCCCGAAGCAGGGAACCGATCATCACAAAGTAAAAAAGCCCGTTCAGACCATCGTTTTGCGATTGCAAAAGCGATCACAAAAACGTCGTTGTAATACGGTTTCGTCGTAATGCGGGGCAGTCGTAAAGTGGGGCACGACTATATCTGGGTTGTCTGGGTGCTGCATGTGTTGCTCTCAAACTAATAGCATATGGGCCAAGGTTTGACAAATTACCAGCATGCATACAACATCAAAAATCACATTGTGCAAAAGCATGCCAAGTTGATTATCCCTTATCAAAAAATCCATGCATATAATTATTTTAAAAGTTTGTAAAAATTACCTGGCTTGTATTACTTTAATATTTGTTTCCATTTACTAGAGTTAATGGTTATTTTTAAATAAAAAAGTGTTCGTATCATTGAAACTTCTGTTATGTTTTGAAGCAAAAGGTGATGATTAATTCAGACAACTGTATGAGGGTTTTTTTCTAAACTAAAACCTCAGTATTCAGATTTAATTGCGTGTTGGCACTTTGAAAGAAATAATTTAGTTTTGTGTGGCCGTTTGGGCACTCGGGCTCAAAAAGTTTAGCCATCACTCAACTAGGTCAAGGTGATGCATTGGGTAGTTTCACTTTGATTTAGGAATGAGGAGTGTGTGTGTTGTTGGATTAAGTGCTTGTCTTCTTGTATGGGCTTTGAGTGATAAGGTTTCAATCAATTTTAGCACCACAGTCTTTCTTCTCTTCCCTTTGTTTTTCTTCTCTATGGGTATCAAGGTTTCCTTCCTCCATTTACCATCTGCCTGACTGGTAATTTCAATTGGTATCTTGCTGAAGCATTTGCATGACCAAAACCCTTTCCTACATCTTCAACATGACCTCCAGTACAAAGAATGCTGATTTTTGAACTGGATGAACTTAGCAGTCAACAACAGCAGTTAAAAAAATTTAAAGGAAAAAATCAAGCAAGCTTTGACTTGTCCCAAAACCTGAAGAATTATCTGTCTACTATTTGGCACTTTATGTTGGGAGATCCATGAGCATCCATAGTTAGAAATGTTAAACAGAAATTCAAGTACATTTCAAGCAAGACACACACTTGCACAAATGTCTATGTACATGATGTATGGCAAGAATCATTTTGAATTGTCCAGTAAAATGTCTTGTATTCCAAGCTTTTTAAGGATGTGATCCTTGATATGTGACTTTGTTTCCAGCAACTGCTACCTGGGGAATGATCAACAGTACTATCCTATGCATATTTCCATAGAAGTAGATCCCACTAATGGGGCTTCCTTTCAGGTAAATGGGAACAGGATTGCAGCTGCTAACTCTAAACTTGTCCTGATCACTATCCTATAATCAAGTTAGTCCCTGTTTTTTACATGTGTGCGTTCTAAAATCGTGTACTGCTGCTATTCCTCTGCCATTAGTAAAAATCTGTGGCTGTTTAAATTTGTTTTTGATTTGCATAAAATTGTTTGCTGTTCTTCTTTAGTTTCACTTCCATTTTACGAAATACCCAGAGTGTTCAGGCTCCTAAATGGCATACATTTTAAAAAAAGTTTATCAGATATTTCTTTCACAAAACACACATATGTAAATAGTTACCTTATAAAAGAAATTTGTTCGACCCACAGATCCAACTTTGCCTGTGTGATTCATGAAACAAATGTTCCCTTCAGTTGCACCATAAAATTCACACATCTTGATGTTACCAAATCGATGTAAAAATTCTTTCCAGACATCTGTTCTCACTCCATTTCCAATTGCTAGACGAACCTTGTGGTTTTTTTCTCCTTCTTTCTGTAAGACATGTTAAAAGAATAAACAAACACTTAAAATGAAGCCATCACTCTTGAACGTATAGCGGTCTCGTCAAGCTATGTAACTCCAGAATGGAAAGATTATCTACATCTTGCAGTATATTCTGTCAAGTTTTCCATTAAATTAGAGGCAGATAACAGCTTTTCAAATGGACTGAAAATGGTATGGTAGGAACAGAACATGAAATGTTATTCTTTGAAAAAGGAATGCACTGTGTGACACTTGCTACTTTTCTCCATTCACATAATTACTCTCTTTCCCTGAAATAAGACCTAATCTGAAAATGAGCCCAGCCACGAAATTTCAAAATGATCGTACGTTGAAGCACCATTTCCCATACGAATGCACTGAAATGCAATTAATCCCTTCTGGCCGAAGGGCGGGGGGAGAAAAGCATTCAAGGAGGAATTAAAGAACCTCTTAATGAGGGTAAAATAGGGTGCAATAAATGGTCTGAAGCTCAACATAAAAAATGCTAAAATCATGGCCATTGGTCCCATCACCTCCTGGCAAACAGAAGGGGGAGAGATGGAGGCAGTGACAGGTTTTGCTTTCTTCGACTCCATGATCACTACAGATGGTGACAGCAGCCATGAAATTAAAAGATGGCTTCTTCTTGGGAGGAAAGCAATGACAAACCTAGATAGCAATTTAAAAAGCAGAGACATCACCTTGCCGACAAAAGTCCGCATAATCAAAGCTATGGTTTTTCCAGTAGTGATATATGGAAGTGAGAGCTGGACCAAAGAAGGCTGACTACCAAAGAATTGATGCTTTTGAATTGTGGTGCTGGAGGAGACTCTTGAGAGTCCCCCGGACTGCAAAGAGCACAAACCTATCAACCCTGAGTGCTCACTAGAGGGACAGATCCTGAAGCTGAGGCTCCAATACTTTGGCCATCTCATGAGAAGTGAAGACTCCCTGGAAAAGACCCTGATGTTGGGGAAGTGTGAAGGCAGGAGGAGAAGGGGACAACAGAGGACGAGATGGTTGGACACTGTCATAGAAACTACCAACATGAATTTGACCCAACTCCGGGAGGCAGTGGAAGACAGACAGGCCTGGCGTGCTCTGGTCCATGGGGTCACGAAGAGTCGGACACTACTTAATGACTAAACAACAACTATGCTAGATACATCAATGGTCTGACCTACCATATTGCACTTTCATACATAGTACAGTTTTATGGAAATCAAATACCAAAGATTAGGAGAATAAATTTTAATGGCATTTTCATCTTTAGCCCCAATACATCCAAAGTTAACTATTTATCACATTTACTGAAAGTAATGAAAGGTATTTTTCCATGTATAAAATTACACTTTTCCCTAAAATAATTAGAAGAAAAATTGAGGGTCGTTTTATACATGGAAGGCAGCAGGAGGAGGCGATCACCTCCTTGCGACTGGGTGGCGGCGGCAGCAGTCAGTGGGCTGCAGGGAGAGGCAATTGAGCCTGGCTGCTTCTTTGCCTCAGTCTCATCACCTCCTTGCGATTGGGAGGCAGCGGCAGCAGTCAGTGGGCTGCAGCGAGAGGTGAATGAGCCCGGCTGCTTCTTTGCCTCAGTCTCTGCCTCCGGCTGCTGCCTCCACCACTGGTTTTGGGTTCAGTGATCATGCAGCCCTTTGATCCCCACTTCTCCCTTCTTTTTGCTAAGCCCCGTGACTTAGCAAAAGGAAGGGAAAAGCAGTGGTGAAAGGGAGCCCTTTGACAGCTCTGTTACCCTTCCTTTTGCTAAGCCCTGGGTTTAGGAAGTGGCGGGGAAAGCAGTGATCAAATTTTCTAATTCGGGGTTAGAAAAAGGGGGTCATCTTATACATTGGGTTGTCTTATAAATGGAAAAATACAGTATGTCATTCTATAAAAGGACTTTCATCACAATCCTAAATGCAGTTGTGATTAAATCTCAATAATCACAATGGAATTTCCTTCTAAGAACTCATTCATATAGTTCTGCTAAGTCACAACTGTCTTTACTTGAACCAGGTTCTTTAAAAAAAAAAAGATCTGTTTCTGTAGAGGCCTTGTTTTCCTTATGCATCTCAAATTATGCAGATTTTAGTTCGTTTAACCACCTCCAGGGAATCAATGAAAACAGACTGATCTAAGTCTGTGCTTTCAAAAAGATTGAATGCCTTGTTTTTCATCACTGCTTAATTCAAATTAGCATGTCATCTGTAACACTTCAGCTACTCTTTATTGAGGTCACTGAGTTCTGTCTTATTCAGATGTAAATCTGGTAACACCAGAAAAAACACAAAACAAAGAGACTTTTATTGTAACCTTTTGTTCAGCAATGAACAAAGAAAACGACCCAACTCAGACTGAATGGTTCATTCATCAGCCCACAGAAACTGAAACTCTCCAATTTAACCTATAGGCAAACTTTGTTTCCACTTAGGCATTTCCTTAACAAAAGACAGCTTTGTTGATTAAAGATATCCCACACAAGGAGCCAGATTAAATTGCTGTAGTACTATTTGCAGATCTAGTAATTTACAAATTCACAGATGGCTGTTGATTGTTATAAAATAATCACGACCAATCCAAACAAATCTCAAAGAAGAAAATAACTCTGAAGCAAGGGCGAAGGGCAAGGACAGCCCTTGGGATTAAACAGGTGACTGAGGAAGGAGGCATGCAGAATCCAAACAAGAAATGAGGTCATAAGAATGTCTTGTGAAAATATGATAAAGACATTTGTGCACAAAGCAGTGGGGTGGGTTACACCCTTCTGGAGACTGTCAGAGAGGTGATGGAAACTGAGGTTAACATCATACCGGAGACATTATGCCTCTGAATAGTAGTTGCTGGGGTGCATGAGCAAGATAGTGCTGTAACATTCATGCCCCATTTGTGGGCTTTACATGCACAACAGTTTGGTGCTGGAACATCAGAATACTGTGCCTTCAGTTTCGATATCTATGTGTAAGGTTTTCCAGTCCTCCAGATTTGAGAAGCGTAAATTGTAAATTAAAAAGCAAAGACATCACCCTGCCGACAAAGGTACGCATAGTCAAATATATGGTTTTTCCAGTGCTGATGTATGGAAGTGAGAGCTGGACCATAAAGAAGGTTGACCGCTGAAGAATTCAGGTTTTTGAATTGTGGTGCTGGAGGAGACACTTGAGAATCCCCTGGACTGCAAGGAGATCAAACCTACCCATTTTGAAGGAACTCAACCCTGAGTCCTCACTGGAAGGACAGATCCTGAAGGTGAGGCTCCAATATTTTGGCCATCTCACGAGAAGAGAAAACTCCCTGGAAAAGACCCTAATGCTGGGAAAGAGTAAAGGCAAGAGGAGAAGGGGATGACAAAGGACAAGATGGTTAGACAGTGTCATTGAAGCTACCAACATAAATTTGCCCAAACTCCGGGAGGCAGTGGAAGACAGGAGGGCCTGGAGTGCTGTGGTCCATGGGGTCACGAAGAGTCGGACACGACTTAATGACTAAACAACAACAAATTCTAAATTGATACCCAGTGTGGTATAGTGGATTGAGTAATGGATTAAAAGGTAAAGGTTCCCCGTGTCATTTTTAGTCCAGTCGTGTCTGACTATAGGGGTCGGTGCTCATCCCATTTTTCAAGCCGTAGAGCCAGCGCTTGTCCGAAGACAGTTTCCGTTGTCACACGGCCAGTGTGCATAGGGAACGCCGTTTTACCTTCCCACCGAGATGGTACCTATTTATCTACTCGCATTTACATGCTTTCGAACTGCTAAGTTGGCAAGGAGCTGGGACAAAGCGATGGGAGCTCACTCCATCGCGTGAATTCGATCTTACAACTGCTGGTCTTTTGACCCTGCAGCAGAGGCTTCTGGAGTTTAGCCCGCAGTGCCACCACGTCCCTAATGGATTAGGATTCAGGTAACCCAGGTTCAGTTCCCCAGTTCTGTCAGGGAAATTCACTGAGGGATGGAACCGAAATAAAAACCAGTCCTTAATATCTCACTTATCATAAAAATCTTATTAGGATCACTATGTCAGTTCTGACTGTTATGTGGTGGCATACAACTACTAAAATAATAGCATATTAGTCCAATTAGCATGCTATAAATATATGCTGATTAATGTATGTAGGCTTTTCACATGATTCAAATTAAACACATGAGTTCTTGAGTTATTTTTCTAGTAATTTGTTTTAGCCTCAGAATCATTTATACACTAGCCACTAACCTGAGGAAGACTGTATAATATAATGGTTAGAGAGCTGGACCTGGACCAGTGATACACATTCAAATCCCCACTCAGAGCTTACTTGGTATCCATGGGTCAGTCAGTACTACCTTACAGAGTTATTTTCAGAATAATGTGGGGACAAAAGAGCCACATAAAGCAGCAACATACATTGCTGGTGCTAATAAAGAAAGAAATAATAAAAAAATAAATAAGTGTGGTCCTTGCAATACAATCAGAAGACAAGGGTGAATGATAACCTTTATTAGATTTTTTTTAAGAAAAATGTTTTTAAACGTTGCTTCTCTACATCATCAGGATGAGCATTACAGAACTTGGAGTGGTGCAGAAGAAGTAAAAGTTCCATAATCCATGATCAGAAGTACAGGCTGTATTTCCCTATTTAAAGCAAGTTTCAAAAGGGGGACTGTAGAAGCAACTCAGAAGTGGTTGGTTTCAGGTTTCAGTGTGGATTAGAATGCCTCTCCCTTTGTCTAACAAAACTTGTTTAAATGCTTGCACAGACTAACACAGCTACAACTCTAGAAAACTACAACTATAAAAGGCAATGGATTTAGCCAAGTAGAGTAGAGATCCATCAACCTCATGGAAAAAACTAAAAGAAACATTATAGTTGCTTTCTACATGTTTTCCCTAATTTTCCCCACCCACAGATTTCACCAACCCTCTTTTTCAAATACCAAATCATCAGGAGTAAAATTTCTCTGTCCTCCTCAAAACAAACAAACAAAAAGGACAACAGCTCTACCACTTCAGATAAGTAAGTGCTGCGATTCTTACAGAAGTCACATGGAAATGAGGACAGACTGACTGTGTTATTCCCTCTTCCACACAACTATTAAAGGTACAAGATCCTTGTCCTCTTTTCCACATGGACATCCTACAGTTTTGGCATCACTATAAGACAGGTAAGGACGATTGAAGAAGGATTGAAAGGCACCTCTTAAAAGCAATGCAAATGTAGAAGGTCATGGGTACAAAGTCATGTGTCACAGCCAAAAAAAGAACTGGAGGCAGTGTCTCTGGAACAAAATAAACTCAATTGCAAGCAGAGTCTGTTCCAGGTGGAGATGAGATGACTAAAAAACTGCATCTTTAGGAAAATCCCCCCTTTTTTGTAAGTAGAAGGTATAGTAGACTTCTTTTTTTGTTGCATCCAACCCCTACCTCTGCAGGACATATATGATGGTAGTACTCTTGGCTTGCTTTGTGTGCATCTTTTCCTTCTCCCCCCCCCCCACAATAATATTACAATAAAAAAGCAAAAAATGGTTAAAGTGGAAAACTTTCCTTTGATAGCCAGAATTGTATTGGTGCTTACGTGCCTTGCTAAAACTAATTTATGAGACACAGGGGTGCATCTCAGTCACATGTCTGGTGATAGATCTGACTCCACAACTGAGATGCACCATGCCCTTATGAATTAGCCAAACTTAACCATAGTATGCTATGGAGGGGAGGGCGACAAGGATGATCTGGGGGCTGTAGACCAAGCCTTATGAGGAAAGGCTGAAAGAATTGGACATGTTTAGCCTTGAAAAAAGAAGACTAGGGGAATGATATGACAGGACTTTTCAAATATTTGAAAGGCTGTCATACAGAGGAGGGGCAAGATCTGTTCTCAATCCTCCCAGAGTACAGGACACGCAACAATGGGCTCAAGTTAAAGGAAACCAGATTTCAGTTGAATATCAGGAAAAACTTCCTAACTGTTAGAGCAGTACGACAGTGGAAGCAGTTACCTTGGGAATTGGTGAGTGCTACAACTCTTGGAGGCATTCAAGGAAAACTTAGATAATCACCTGGCAGATACGCTTTGATTGTGTTCCTGCATTGAGCAGTGAGTTGAACTTGGATGGCCTTGTAGGCTCTTTCCAACTTCACTTTTCTATGATTCTATTATATAAGACTTATGTGAACACCAACAGGATTCCAGCCTAAGATTCTTATCTTAGTCTATCAATTGTCCTAACTGATAGGTTGAAATCCTGACACTTAGCAATACAGTAGGCCCACTGAACCAGTTGGGATTTGATGAGTCAACTTCTACGTAAGTTCTGTTGATTCAAATAGGCCTACTGTAGTTGTGACTCACTAACGTAGTGAGTTACAACTACAGTAGCCCATCTGAATGAATGGAACTTACAAGAGTGGACTCATCAAATCTTCACTGATTCAGCGGGCCTATTCTATGTAATTTACTATGCAAAGCAACAGGATTCCAGCCAACAGTGCTTAAAACTTAGCATGAAAGCTATTTAGCTTTTCTCTAAAGAGAGACTTGCTGAGTTTTTCAAAATATAATATAAATGCTAATTTTTGATCAAAATTTTCTCTAGGGTCAAACTAGAATAGACATTAAATGTGTTTGCATGTATGCTTTAAAATGCTAATGATTATAATTTAACTCCTTTTTCTACTGTTGTAATCCTAAAGCAAAAAACTAATAATAATTTGAAGCCAATTTTATTGAAAGTTGCCATTTATGTCAAAAGATATTTCTTCCCCAAAAAAGGGATTTTTACTAGGATTCCAGCGCGGGTGTGTGTGTGATTTTCTTGCTCCATTACTGCTATTTTCACACTAGTTATCAATTCTCCCCAACTTCTGCTGATGCTAGTGGCACTTAAAAAAAAAGTCTGCACATTTTAACATGTTGATTTCCTAAATGTTCCAAGGCAGAACATGTGTTTCAGAGCCAAATCACATACAGTATACGCCTTTAAATTTCAATGTCCATGAAAACAAAACATTCTCTACACATCCATTCACCTTTTTAAAACAAATCTACATTTTTGTCTTGTTTTATTAGCAATTCTAGAGTAAAAATAAAATTTTTGTTCTCCTTTTCCATTTCGTAAAATAATTTAATTTTTATATGCACTAGAGCAACTGGCAAGTTTCTTTTCAATGCAGTAATAGGAAAACAGGCAAGCCTTTTGGATATTTCAAAATATATTTGGCTAATTTTCTGGACTTGAGAGATTTACCTATGATTAACACAACTGAAACTCCAGGAGCAACTGATTTTTAAAAAGGTGTATTTATATTTCTGTAATCTACTAAAAAGTTCAGCATGCCTTATTTAGTCTGGAAACCTGAACAACAAGAATTTGTTTTCATTTACTTAGATTTGGCCATGTAAAAATAATTGGAAGTAGGCTTTTAAAAAGTAATTTCAGGAATAAAACAATCCCATCCAGAATGGATACTACACCCAATAGGTTGTCTATTGATTAACAGGATTGTTTTCTTTTCTGAGCTGAGCCTTAGTTTGTCGACCCACATCCTGTCTTTCACTTTATCCAAACTCAACTTCAGGACTTACACAGTGACACTAACACATGCTAAGAGGAAGAGACAGAAGTATTAGCATAGTGATGAAAACCGACACCCAAGTTCCAGATACCCTTGCAGGACAGGCTATATCAGTTGAAATACTTTTCTGAACAGATAATAGGACCTGTAATCCACTACTTCTGGAGGGCAGCAGCCATGGGAAGACTGCTCTAAATGTGTGGCAAATGACCTCATAAAACAGTAATATTGCTAATTATAAAATCAAGATAGTATAGAGTGTATCCTGGTGATATGCAAAGTTAGAATATAAGTCAAGAGAAGAGTGTCAGAATTCCAAAAGTTGAAACAAGATACCCCATCCAGCACAGTTTCCAAAAATAAAGTTACAAACCCAGCTTCTAATTGCCACCTGAGTGCCACCATACAAGTGATGAGAACATGAGTCTCACATGTGGAAGTCCTCAGGTGGAAATCAGAGCGTGGGATTGTAATTCTTTTTTGTTAGCCATATGGCATGCCGCAAAATGATCTGCCTCCAATCACTCAATTACTTGAATTCAGGTTTCCTTTTATGATTTCTCTATTTGGAATCTTCTGTACTTCAGGCAAGAGATCCTTCCTACTAAATTCCATACTGATAGGATAAATACTAATGATTTGATGAGGATTAAAAAGTAGTAAATAAGTCAAGCACACAGCAACATTATGTCACAAATGTCCAGTCGGACACTGTAGAGGTACAGATTTTTGCAGTTACTAGTTATATAATTCCTAGCCAATATTCTCAATGTAAAACCTGTAAAATGCACAAGTTGCTTCACCATTGCAACAAGTATAATCAAAGAACAAACAGAAATCGAAAAGGAGAAGCGTTGCTGGTTGCTTGCAACATATGCACTTAAGGAATTTCCATCAGACAGAGGACAGTGAGTCTGTACACAAGTATTTATTGTGGAAATAACTGGTCTAGAATGTTTTAGTACATGATTAGATAGAAGACATGCAGCTTTCCCCGTCACTCGCAAAAAGATATGCACAAGAAAGTAGCTGTGCTACAGCAGGGGGGAATCAGTACATTTCCTTTAAGAATAAACATGGTAATACTCAGATCAAAAGCATTTGGCTTCGGAGAAGAAATGATCGCTCTTGCAAGGTCACTCGTGCAAAAAACAAAACAAAACAAAATCCTAAGTATGGTTTTCTGTTTTAAATTGTGGAAAAGACATTACACGGCTTTGTACATTGTACTTGTCCATAAATTAAACTCCTCCTTGGCCCCAGCACATGCTTCTCCTTATTCTAGACACAGCTATTGACGTCTAAAAGTCATGGAGCAGCAGAGAAACTAACAGTTCTATGGGGGCACTGGGCCCCTCTTCCCTATATACAGTATTTTCATTTGGATGAAACAAAGTTGCCCATTGTCAGTGGTGATGGTCTGTGTGTGGAACAAGGCTGATCAAGGAAGATGGAGAAAGAAAGAAAGCTAGGCAAAGAGACAAATGCTTCATTGCCATGAAATGACATGCAAATTTCCAGAAGAGAAGCTATTTGAAGACTAAATTAGCAATAATGTTTTGGTGCCATAAGTTCCTGTCTCCAACATGAGTTGTGAAAAAACCCTGTTCTTGCTCAGAAGAGAACTATACAAAAGACTAATTTTTAATAAATACTTGTATTTTAATAAAATTGCACAATGCACACTTTAGGATAAGCATTGTTCAGCCAAGAACTCGTTTAGATTAACAAAGTTAATATTGTTTTGATTGGACTCACCACAGGCTGTTTGCAAAGGTAACGGCACAGTTCCCCAATATACTGAATCACTGTAACTTTATACTTCTTGCAGTCACTCCAGAACAGACTAGCTGAAAATTTATTTCTTAAAACACATGTTGCACCTTAAAACAAAACAAAACAAAAACAAAAAGCACAATCCCAAAATATAATTTGAGCGTGATATTCCCCATTGTAGTTACTGGAAAATCCAGTATCCCTCGCAATTTGGAATGACTGCCTTTACACGTGTTTATTTTTTAAATATATATATTATATCCATAGATATATCTTTGGATATATCCATATCTACAGTACAACTTTCACTATAAATTCACTCTGCACCATGCTTTTTCCATACAGACTATGCAATATATATAGAAAGAGAGCTAGCCTCAATTCATCTGCTGCTTGTGGAGTTTCCATAGGTATGTGATTGGTCACCGTGTGAACAGAATGCTGGACTAGAAAATCCTTTCTTATTTTCTCAAGTAATTAACAAGTAGGCTGACCACCTGCCACCCGCTTGTTTCAAGGACCAAAGGAATATTTTGGAATCATTCCAAATGTTTTTGGCACAAAGCCACTGGACTTTAAGGTAAGGCCTGACCACCCTCATCCACCCCATTGATCACAAAAGATAGCCACATAATATACACATTAAGTTTTGAAAGTGAGGCTTCACCACTGATGTTGTCAAGGACTGTTTTACTTACCCAGTTCAATACATCCACCAATTCCAAGAAGAGAAGCAGCACTGTGGTAAAGGGGAAGGGTTATATAAACGATATCATCAGGAGTAGCACCGAATGCCCATAATCCAGCAGCTCCTTTTAGGGTCTGCAAGTGACTGATAACAGCAGCCTTTGGGAGACCTGAAACAGAAAACACACAAACATTTTTATTTTCAAAGTGCAGTTATTCAACATCAACTGCTAGCATTTCCTCCTCTGTACAAATGACTTCCGTATGTTCTGTTTGGAGATGAATATATCATATCTAAAGAACATGTGTCAGTTAGTTCTGCTGATGTGGACTCAACCAATTCCCCTACGGTCTGAGCAGGGATGGGTGTCTCACCACAAAGTGGAAGGGAGAGTTTATTTCTCCCAGCTCAGATCAGAAGCTGCTAATAACATTCACTAAACTCTGCCACTGGATCCAGGTGGGTCAAGGCAGTAAGAAAACAAACTTTTTGCTTGACATGGAAACAATTAACCACTGAAGTAGCTTTCCTGCAAATATGTACTCTAGTTTCTGTGGTGGATTACAACTCCCATCATCCCTAGTCAGATTATGTGAGCTGCAGCTTATCACAGTCCCCAGTTTGGGGACGACCAATGTACTTACTTCATGCCACTCAGGAATAAATAATCATAAATCCAAGAACAAAAAGCATGTCAGATCCATTACTGGTTTTCTCATGACATCCCAATTTGGAATGGGAAAATGTGATGGGAGTGCTAAACTTCACTTCTTTGGCCAGAATGCTATTGGATTTGTACTCTGGAGTAAGTGAAATTGAATAAATGGTAGTGACAAACAGCAGCTGATTAACAAATGACCCATTATGTGCCTGGTCTCACAACTGTCAGCTGACCACATGTACTGTACCTCTTAAGTTGCCACTACAACATACGTGATTTACATTTCTCTGGAGTGAAATCCCAGCAGGATTCCAGCTGTTCCTAGTATTCACTGAATACACTGAGAGTTATCTTTTCTTCCCTGTTACTGAACTTGAGAAAAATCACATTAATAATTTTATTTTCACTCTTTTTACTTAATAGATCCTTTGTTTTCCAAACACATGGAAGTATTCAGGACATTTTCTTTGGAATGTGGGACATGATGGATGTTATCCAGAAAACTTTAGGTGTGCCTACATTCCACGGACTTATGGCACAATCCATTAACTTACAGTTTTACTCGGACATTGAGTACAGCTGGCTTTGCTCCAAGCTAAGCAAGTATAGGACTACTTCGGCACTTAATTTCAGATCCATCCCTTGATTTCAGGCTTTGGAAAACTGATTTTCACACTAATCCCAAAAATTAATTAGGAAATATTTGAAGGAAAGGAGTTTGAAAAAGTTGTGGAAGCAGGCACTAAAGCAATGCTAAAGCACAGGAAGAAAAACCTGTTGATGTAGCATAGAAATATTAAATAATCTTTTGATTTTAATCAAAGGTATAAGGCAAAGAGTGATAAACAATTATTCTAAAATATATTTAAAGCAGATAAAGACTCATACATTAATATGTTATTTTAAATCTGACAAATAATTAATAATCTGTAGTGAGACAAAGCTTTCTTAAAGTCATAGCAGCAAAAGAGAAATTCATTATTATAGCATGGTGCTTTTAATTTCCTTTGCTAAGAGGTATTTCAAAAGAAACAGCTAAAGATCTTAGCTTCTTAGCATCTGTACTACTGCTAATAAACCTAGCCATCTGTTTCAAAACTACAAGACTAATTAGTTACTTAATCCTATTTTCTTTCTCCATAATGACCTGCAGGCTAACCAAGCATTTCATAACAGATGTATAACAACATGTTAGGAAATGAGATTGTAAGGTCCATGGAGTCTAGTTCTAATCTAGAGGTCTGGTACTGACCAGAAAATATCCTTGTATTGTTATTTGCAATGAACATAGTTAAAAATAGTAATTTTCTGCCATTATTTTTTATTTAGTTATTTATTGTTTAAATGTAATCCCAAGCCATACTGAATGAGTGAAAAGGTTGCTACTATCTATGTTATGAGATCAGAAAGCTTCAGTGTGCATCCACCTTTGGAAAGAAATTAAGACTTTTTTCATCTCAACAACTTTTTTCAGAAAGTGGTCTCAGTGTGTATTTTTAGTGCATTTCAGTACATTTTAGCATGAAAGCACAATCCCTTCTTATAGCACTCAGTGCACATTTCAAACCTAGCTGATATCATTGACTGTTATACCTGTTGTTCCTGAGGTAAAAATGTAGAGGTGAGGATCCTTTAGGTTATTAACAATATGAAGATCAACTGGCAAAGGATCATCAGAGGAAACTTCCAGCTTGTCTAAAATGGTGTTAGCATGTGGCAGCCTGGATTCTTTTGTCATCACCCAAACTCTAATGTCTTCTTGAAGGCCTGGAAGAATTTCTTCTAAGGTCCCAAGCATATCTGCAAAATGAGAATATTAGAGCAGATTAACTATGAGTGCAAATATTGTTCTTTCAATTGCATCTCAGGAGCAAAAGCCTGTGGCTATCTGGTGCAGGGGATCACTGTATGGAGGAAGGGCAGCTAAGTGGCATATTACAGTCTTCTTACATTGTTCAACAGAAATCAAAGGGAATCATAAAGACCAACAAAAGTCCACTTTCCTTGCAGAAAGAGCCTTATGTGTCTACGCTTGGATCCATTTCCTCATTGCATCCAAGAAGGCTTCCTCAATTTGGAACTCTCCAGAAAGGTTAGTTAACATTTATCATTTCCAGATAGCATGACAATTTGGAAAGGTTTCCATAGAGTGCCAAAAGATATAAGGACCCACATTGCACATTAACCCTACACCAGAGTATAATGCTAAAAGGAAAAGATGGCATGTTTCAGGCTTGTATGGTCCACCTTCTTTTCTTATTACATAAAAATTCTATGGAATTCTGGTCAGTATGGTTTATTCCAAAAAGCCAGGGGCAGCATACTTATTACCATACTTATTACCAGCATGCCACAATTTGAATTAAGCACTGTTCCCCAAACTGGGATATAACATACAGCTGTGGTTAATTTAAAACCAGAAGAGGGTTTTTCCAATCTCTTTGTGAATTGTCAGAAATTAAACTGTGATTTAATTTCATACAGAAAACAGATCAAAGGTGAGGAACTGATGTATGTATACAAATGCTGTTGTGGTTCTCTGCAGGAGAAAATAAATAAATAGATTTATTTCCAAAGGTTGAATACAAATTTCTTCTTTTATATATCTCATGAGCTGGCCGAATAGCTCAGTGGTTTAGGTATCTGGCTGTGAGCCAGAGGTTGGGAGTTCCTGTGCCTCCTACGAGTAGATCCAGCCTGTGTGGTCTTGGGCAAGCAGCACAGTCCCAGGATGCCCCAGAAGAAGGGAATAAGAGACTGCTTCTCTTCTTGACCTCCCCTTCGTGGATTGCTGCCTTGTTGTAGTGAAGGGGCTTGAGTAATTCAGAGAAGATATGGGCTATGCCATGCAGGGACACCCAAGAGGGACAGCTCATAGTGGAGAGTTCTGACTGAACATGATCCACCTGGAGCAGGAACTGGCAAGCCACTCCAGTATGTTTGCCAAGAAAACTCCATGGACAGAAACAAAAAGCTAAAAGATATGACGCCGGAAGATGAGCCCCTCAGGTCAGAAGGTGTCCAACATGCTACTGAGGAAGAGTGGAGGACAAGTACAAGTAGCTCCAGAGCTAATGAAGTGGTTGGGCCAAAGCTGAAAGGACGCTCAGCTGTGGACATG